CTTTGAAGATCAAGCATTTCAGATTTGTCTCACTGTAGATCGCTTAGCAAATTCCCATTGCTGAAGTTTTTTATGCTCTCCATAGGCATGCTACGTGTGCAATGAAAATAAGCACTCTTGAAAAATGAAAATGAAAATAACTTCTACTCTTCAATTCATCAAGAACTAGGTTATGCACTCTATAATAGACGTCCCATCTAGTCACCTCTGTGCGATGTGTGTTACTGCACAATCTCGGATGAGGTGCTGGGCTCCCGCCGTGCCGTACTTGCACCAAAAGCGCATACGGCTGAAAGTCGACGCCAAACTGCCCGTTTTTTTGATTTTGGTGTTATTTTTTTGTTTTTAGCTGCATCGGTCTAATTTTCAATAAATTATTACCTTTACACTCATGCGTTGTCGTTTTAGATCGGATATCTCAAAATTTATTATTTCTGATTTCAGGTAAGGGAGGCAAACGGGCAACCTTGCAGGCTTGTGAAGTAAGTGTGCTTTGCGATGCTGAACAAGACCCATAGAAGTCACAAACATCGCATTAACAGCAAAAATTTCCGTTGGAAGCAAGCTTCTTTCATTGAAACTCGACAAACCAGGATTTTCGATAGCAATCAAGAAGAAGTTAAAACTCGTATTGTGTAAGAGACACTCTATTCTGTCTACAGACGACGATACTAAAAAGCACACTTCACAATTCTGCAAGATTGCCCATGTGCCTCCCTTACCTGAAATCGGAAGTGATAAATTTTGAGATATCCGATCTAAAACGACAGTGCATGAGTGTAAAGATAACAAATCGTTGAAAACTAGACCGTTGCAGCTAAAAACAAAACAAAAAAAACCAAAACTTAAAAAACGGGCAGATTGGCGTCAAATTTTAGCCGTATGCGCTTTTGGTGCAAGTACGGCACAGCGGGAGCCCAGCACCTCATCCAGGATTTCAGAATTGTGTGCAGTAACACACATCGCACCAAGGTGACTAGACGGATGACGTCTACTATACAATATATCACTGATTCTCGTTGCTGTAACGGAATGGCATTAGTTTAAGAACAAATTCTCTGATAGCAGTCAAAATATTCATTTATGAATTGTCATTCAACGTTGTGTTCATTGAGGGATTGGTCATACTACTTCGAAGAAATCCAGATACAACGAAATGCGTTTGGTTGAGAAAGAAGCAAATCAACATTATGGAAGGTTTAGAATAACTCTAAGCAATCAGCTAATAACTCAAGCTGCTTTGAACTTCGCAAGCAAATGAGCAAGTTAATCTTTAATTTTATTTATTGTTTGTTTCAGATGCAGTTGTCTTTTTCTTTGGCTGTTGACAAGTTATTACACATTTGCTACGAATTACATCGCTGATTGATTTTTTGATTCATAAATTTGAGCCTCTTGTTTTTTAAGGTTATGCAATACACGAACTCATTCCCACGAAGAGGCATGCATATAAAATTAGATGAAGGGGGTCTTTAAAAATTTAAATTTTCTGGAAAATGGTTTCCCTGCAAAACCAACGTCTAAGAGATGTATGTAGGTGATCACTTGTGCTGCGATAACGAAAAATATTGAAAAGACTGAAGAGCAGCTTTTGATTTCCTGACTTGATGGTTTTGAGGTACGTCAAACTTTGGATTGGAAGCATCTGGGAATCTTGAGAGAAGAATTTAACAGCCGATTGATGTAAGCCCAGTACAAGAAGGTTTGATCAAGGAAGTACAGGTTCTCATAGGAAGGTCCCTTCGCCTTGTGAGAAAATTCTCGTATGGCACAATCAGCTTCATATTTCCAGATAAGAGGGGAGTTAAACGGAAACACAGGGCTAAGATAAGCTTTGACACATTTGCCTTACCAACATCGAAATTTTTAGATGTTTGAGTTCTTATGTTTAAGGCATGTTTACGGATGAACAAGTCTTGATTTTGTTAGTTCCTCATTTTATTGTAGTACTACCGAAAAGCTGTATCAATATTTGTCATCTGTTAGCAATTTACAGCAAAGTTCAAAAGTCATGCACTATGTATAAAACATAAAACAGCTGTCTACACAGTCTAGACATCCCCACGAGCTATACTGCCACTTTCTGTAAAAAAAGCACCAAAATTGTAAATTGTGCGTGAAATTTTGCCGATGCTTCCATGGGTCGTGTTTTGAGCACATTTATGCATTTTAGGGCCGCAAACTAACATCCTCGCTGAGACGAGGAACACAGCTTACAAGAGGGCTTCATATCTTGCTGCAACGTTCTCCACGTGTAACTATCGCAAGATTCTATTGCCTTTTACCGTAAACAAATTCAACAAGCGCAAGAGGTTGTAAATTCGCATTTTACAACTTACTATATGTTATCCAGATCCCCGACCATCGACCGCCTTTATTGATAGTCATTTTTTTGCCCTGAAATTATTAGAAACTTTCGTTGTACTGACCTACCTCAACAATGTTGAGCATATTTCCAATTACAACGGATGAGTTTCATAAATACGAAGTTTTCGATAAACTTCAACTTTTGATTTGTGGTTCATCGCAATTTTCGTGTTTTCGATACACATTTATCAAAAACATGCTCAAAATCGGTAGGGTAGGTTAGATGATCAGTACGTTCCTATCGATTTGGCAGAAAGAAAAATGACTTTGAAAAATTAGTGTCGGCGCCGGGGTTGTTAGTGACCATACAAGTAAACTCTGATATGGTCAATGCAGTCGGTTGTTAGAGTACATATCGTGGTTTATATATTGGAAATAGGGTTTATATATGTACGACCTTCGTTCCATATTCACAAACCAAGGAATGATTGCGCAGCAATAAATTTGTTTGCTCTTTGCTTGTGCTTTCTGAATCAATAAAAGTACGTATGAAAATACACATATATACATATAAATCAGCTAGCAAGCCGGCTTTTTGAGCTCTCTTATTCGATATGTCTTGACAGTCATCGCCCTATACGCTGTTTATCAGGCTCCCGCCAGAGTGCCGAAGTTATGCCAGCGCTACGCCAGCATTTCGATCGATACACGTGTATTTCGTTGGGGCGGGGCTAGCTGGGAGCCTCAATGATTCTTATATTGCACTGGTGTGAATATTTTTATGCATTAGCTTTGACCCAACAAGAAAAAAAATATATTTGAATTAAGAATCTGGGAAACACTTGTGAATGACATATCTACTCACTCTTCTAGCCTCCTCCTACATTTCCATCAAAAGTGCAAAAAAAACCGCTGAAGTGCGCAGACAACTTCTAAGCCACAGTTTGATTTACGATGTTGTCCACTTACACACAGCTTCTATTATTCTTTTGAGAAAAGGTTCCTAACTCAATCTGAGTTGTATATATTTGATGATAGCTTAGAACGCTTATTACAAAGTGGAACTCAACAACTGCGCACCGTTTTCAAGTAAGTTAACTGCTTTTGTGGGAGAAAGTTTCATGCATTTCGACCTTATATCCTACGATACCACCTTTGAGTGTTAAGGTGCTTACGTTAAATTCCCTAACAGCAAAAAACTTATCCTGACGTTATTCCAATACTTCAACCCATTTTTCGGATAGTTACATACATGTTGTTCTTCCATATTAAGTAGCATGTTAATCTCATGTAAAAAGTGCATAATTTGCTTTTGACATGAGAGCTAGGAACGAGGAACGCATTGAATTATAATAGTTTGAGCTAACTCCAGGTTTATATGTATACAAGCCTTTGTTCGGAAAGCCAGGCTGAGTTAAGTGCTTTCCCTCGTTAGCTTTCATAATAGTAAAAAGTGCAAAATCTGATATTTAACCAATATCCAGAAGTCTTATTGCGTGCCCGCTCTGAGGCATATCTTACGTTAAGGCTTGATACATACCTCGCTGCTTAGGTATGGACAAAACCAGCGAGCAGCGAAGGCAGCGCTGCTCCGGCTGATCAGCGCTGCGCTCGGCTGCTTCTTGAGTGCATGTTGAGTGCAGAAACCATCAAAAACAACTGCGCTAATGACGAGTTTTATTACGTCAAAAAGAAGAGAATTAGCATATTTTAAGTTGGATCTGGTCCATACTTTTATGAGAAGTTCTTCATTTTTCATTTTTCATCACTAATTTTAGAATAGAAAGGTAGCTCATACGAGCAAACTCAAAAGAGCAATTCAAATGTATTCATTCCATTCGACCCTGATAAGGCAATGGCTGTCCCAGTAGTATGAAAGTGTCCCTTAGGCAATGACATGATTGCAGTCCATTGGAGGCCAAATTTTATCTGATTACGCTTTCAGCTCTTTGAATTATTGCCAATGTGTAGTCAGTATCAAAATTACTTCATTTCTCTTCATGTTCATGGAGTATGTCCCTCCAGTGCGTCTTAATATTTCCCCATATCCTCTGAAACCCCAATTAAACGGTATTAGGTTGGATTCATAACTTGCTCACGCAATATAAAGACGGACTCTGTTTTCAGAACGCTAGTCAGAGCTTGAAAATTGCTAAAAATAGGTAATTTCGAGCCAAAACAGCTGTTGCAGCTCAAAGCAGCTGAGATCAGCTCAAAGCAGCTGCGATAAGCTCAGAAAAAGTGAACGTAACTCAGCTGCAAATCTAGTTGCAGCGCTGATCAGCTCGAGCAGCGCTGCTCAAAAATGACTCGCTAGGTATGGACACGACCTTTCATATTAGCTGCTGCAGCGGGAGGCAGCAGCGTCACTCCGCTGCAATCAATATGCACAAATCGCATTGCTGCCACCGCTACGTATAAACACCCGACGCTAGGTATGTATCAAGCCTAAAAGCAGTGCTTTCCATCATGGCTCCTGGCCATCAAGCTAAGTATCACGCAGCTTCCAGGCCAACTCAAGATACTGATGGATTAAGGGCTTATTATGCATGGTTAGTCTGCTGGCCTATTGCAAACACTAGTTTAAAAAGTATTTTCAAGAAGATAGAGCGAAGTTGTGAAACATCAAGTTTCAGTTACTTTGCTTTTATCTTTATGTATTCAAATTACTGTTCACAAAAATATCTTTCAGAATGAGGGTTAACCTGCTTCTCATACTAGTTAGCTACAGCGCAGCAGACAGTATCATTCAAAGGATTGATAAAGCACTGAGCGATGTGCCCACGGTGGGCTATTTATAATAAGTTGTTAATGATTTATCGTACACTGTGCTAGACCCTGAACAAAGCTGAACTTCTTGCCAACTACGAGATAATTCACGCGCATGAACCAGAGATTGAGCAGCAGCTTCAGCAGTCGCAACAGCAAGTGGAAACCTTGCATAGACTAGAGGAGGTAAGCTGTAAAATTTTCATGGTAACAAAAAAATGATTTCACTACTAAAAAAAAGAATTACAGGAAGCGAGACCGCTACAACATAATGAAAATGGGTTCGACACTATTGATTATATTAACAAACAATCACCCTTAGGAGACCTCTTGTATCAAAGTGACATAATTCTGAGCACGTGAGTATAAGCTTTCGATACAAACGTTTACTTTACTTCCTTTTCAAGTGAACAAGCGCGAAGGATTGCTGAGAGCGACACAGTTAGTGAAGCGATTAGAAGGAAACGACAGGGGATTAACACTACAACATATGATCAGTTGTGGCCGAATGGCAAAGTGCCTTATTCATTTTCCTCCGAAATAGGTAACCGCAGATTGTGCAAAGTGCTCATAACGAGATTGAGAGTGTTTACAGATCCGAGAATGAGGAGTATTTTTTTCAAAGCGGCAATGCTTTGGCAGAAGGATAGTTGCGTCACATTTTATCAAGACCCTGAAAGTGAGACGAAAAATACGTTTTTTTCTGAATTCAATATCTTTCCCTTAAGATGAGGACCGAGTTGAAGTGGTACTGGGGGATGGATGTCAGTCATATGTGGCAAGATTACCAAATAAAGTACAGCAGATATTCCTGGGTGCACCATGCAGATATGTGAGTAAATTTTGCGGCTTGAATGTAGCATTTTTATGCGTAGTATACAACCAGCTTGCAAAAAACTCTTAGTTACATCTACATTCGCAGCGCGGTCCTTAGCGACCTTGCGTTTCTTCAAAAAGACCACGTTATTTAGACTACAACGCATCAAATAGAACAGGATTTGTTTGCGGAGAAGTTACTAAGAGCACTCTTTCTAAAAACACTCTTATCTAACATAGCAATATGCAAGTAGCAGTCACTGTGCTGTCAAAATTTTTGGTTGATATCTCATTAGTAGAAAGTTAGCACCTGAATAAATAGGCTATGTAACATGTATACAGATTGGTACCGCTGCACATGAAATCGGCCATACGCTTGGAATGTGGCATGCGCATGCAAGACATGATCGAGACGAATACCTTGTCATTAACCTAGAAAACATCCCGGTAGGAGGACTTCCTCTCTCTTTTTCTGCTCAGCTTTAAAGAAAAATCTTCTAGGAAGCTAACCACCAACAGTTCAGAAAGGAAACCACGAGAACAAATGACAACTATGGGGTCCCCTTTGATTATGGAAGCGTAATGAACTATGCAGCTAAAGGGTTTGAGATCCACAATGTTATGGCACGCAAAAGTTGAAAACATTATTACAGCTGGATGATTCCTGAACTTGAGAAGCAAAAAGATAAATACGCTATGTATCCCAAAGACATTAACTATGTTGATACATTGGGATCACATTTCGTTTCCTTCTACGACAAACTGCTACTAAACAAAATGTACAAATGTCTAGGTATGTCAGCTTTCTTCAAAGAAAGACAGGTTTGGATTGGCGAGTATCAGTATAGGTAATTGCGAGCAGTTATTACGCTCACCAGAGCAGGAACGACTCAAACGACAAGTGTATTCAAGATTCGAAAGCAGTCTCAGTGGTTCGAGAGGAATCTCCGGCTTACGTGGCTCACAAGGCTCCCGCTTCATAAGTGGTATTGGTGGCAATGGCGGTAGCAATACTGGCGGCTCGAACGCTGTTCCGCTGCCAGGCATGGAAGGCGGCTCAAACCCCGGTGGCGGTGGTAGCATTGAGGGCTCAAATGTTCATCCTCTTCCAGGCAGCGAAGGTGGCAGCAATCCTTCAGGCCCAAACTGGTGGAACGACTGGTGGAACCATCTCCCTGATTGGTTAACGGGTTTGGGTTGGGACTTACCCGGGACTATTGTACCTCCAACTACGACTACCACAAAAACCACAACTACCACACCCACAACTACCACAACCAAAACTACCACAACCACAACTGCTACCACACAAGCACCCAGAACCACAACTCCAGTCACCACCACCACCACTTTTCCATCCGGTCCAAGTCCTCTGCCAAAGTGCTTCAATGGCGGATACCCAAGCCCTCAAGATTGCTCAAAATGTGTTTGCCCAGGTGGATACGGAGGACGGCTCTGTAATGAAAGAGTATGTGCATCTTTACATATTCTAAGATAATGCAACAAGCAAGCATTTTAGCCAGAAGGACCTGGAGAAGTACTGCAAGCCACCACCAGTTTTCAAACTCTTTTTATCACAGTGGGCTACAATGATGTGCATAAAACAAGTGACAAAGACGATTTTCTATGGAAACACTACTGGATACAGGTGCGTGACAAAGTGGAAAAGTGACATATTGCTGTAACAATGTCACAAAACTGATGTATTATAGGCCCCTCCAGGAAGAAAAATCGCAGTGAAAGTTAGCACTTTTCCAGAGAGAATCTCTACTCCAGGGTGCTTTTGGGCAGGTATTGAGGTAAAAGCGCAGAAAGATCAACGTATGACCGGATATAGGCATGTTGTATCGATATATTTACTGCGCACAATATATTGTACATTTTAGATTCTGCCATCCTTCTTGGTCAGGAAAGGTATTTTACTCACAGAGTAATCTTGTACCTGTCATGGCATACAGCAAAATTTGGCCAGTCAAATCAGTACTGCAATATCGCATGAGTAAGTTGATTGTATACAATTAACGTTTTTGTAACAATAACTTTCGCTGTCTTGTTTTCAGTCTGATCGCAGGCCGACAACAGTAACATTTTATTGTCAACTTATCGACAAGGTCGCCATATTTTGTTTCCGCTCATTTTGTAAGAGATGAGCTACTGATGTGCTGAAAAAAGAATAAAGGTTAAGTTAATGTGCACACTAAGCAAACAGGAGCAAAAACACAGGCATCTGCAGTTAAGAGCGACTGTGGATTTTTGGATGGAAACATCAAATTGTCCTTGTTGCTAGTATCTCCGACTGATTTTCCCTGACTGATTCACCTTTTCTCACATATTCAAGCTGTATTCCTAACTACTGCATTATTCCTGCGCGATCTTGAATCAGATACTTGCTTGTCTTTCGATATGGTTTTCAAACTGCTGAGGTAGTGGTCGTAGCGGGTAGAGTAGATTCAAAAAACCTGAATTCATTGAAATAAGCGGTTTTTGTCCCTTAGAATCTTAGGTCGTTTATCAGAGCAAGCAGCAAAATCGGTCATAAAGCTTAACTTCTCATCTTTGAGTTTTTCCTAAACCATCTTGTTGTCCTCAGACTACTACGTAGGTGAAATACGTGACTGTAAAAGCGTTGATGATCCGTCTGCCTTGTGCAAAACTCGCAGCATTGGCAAGACTAACGAAAAGAACTGATTAGAAGCACTTGCCTATTTGCGTCATTGGCTTCTCTTGGCGTATCCGATTTGATAACGGATCTGCAGCATCTAATAATCGTATACTGCAAAGAGTTTCCTTTGCTAAAAGCTAAACTACACAAGCACTAAGGAGAGTGAGATCACGCATTCGTTAGTCCAGAAAACCCATTGATTGAGTGCGATCAAATCAAAAACGCGATCAAAATTTGCGCTCGGAGACACCAATAAAAGGCTACTAGCTTCATGGTGATATCAGGTTTACAATGAAGTTCTGCAACTTTTTCCATCACTGTGTAGACCAATGATGAGATGAGCATCGAACGATGCCGATTTCTGCCATCGCATGTAAGCGTTGAGTAATAGGTTGGCATGCAAGTGCAACTTTTCTCCTCTTTTGTATTTGGCACATTTATTCCTTGGTATCATAATGACTGATGTAAGCTATAAAAGCAGCCATTTCGGGTGACCTGAAACGATTCTCTTTTTGCTGTAAGCAGCATTGTTATTTACAAGCCTAATTTCAAGTTACTGCTACTCAGTACTGTAGTCACTCTCTACAAAATTTATCTCTTCAAGCTCGAATATTTTTTCGAGCTCGAAATGATTGTTATCTGTTCTTATAAAACTAAAATTACCAAATTTTTTGCAAAGCAAGAGAATCAAAGTTTTTCGTGTTTACACACTATTAAGTAAATAGGAATACTCCAACAAATAAATATCCAAATTGTAAAGAAAGCTTTCACCACACCGTGTACTTCAGTTGTCAGAAGCTACTTTCGAAAAATAAAAGTCTAGAAATGTCATCACCGTGCCAGTGGCTTTCTTCCTTCGAACGAGTTTGAAAACTGTGGAAGCGCAGTAATTACCATATCGAAAGTTATATTCTTCATTAATAACCTATGAAACCATCCATTCAAGTTCAGCTGATGGGACAGTTCCAGACTTTCTAGACGTTTTCCCGTTTTCCTTTGCACAGTTCTACCCTTTTCTCAAGCATGCCACGTGCACACGCCTCTAGTCGAACTTTTCAATATTTTTATCTTTGGACACTGCGAGAAATTTTCTTCACAGGTTGTAGCCAAAAGCTTATCATGCTGCACAAATCTTCAGTAAAAGAAGCACCTTTCGTGAAGGCCTGAGACGAATTTCATTGACTACATGCGGGAGACAGCAGCTGCACCCTTGAAGTTGAATGCCCGTTGAAGCTGTTGTGTCCTTCACTTCGGAAACACTTCGACTGGATTGCACAGAAGCAGGAAGGAATAATTTATTAGAAAATAATAGTGCAGGAAAAATAGGAGAGGCGATGAGTGAACAATGGACAGAACGGTAGAACTGACTTACAAGGGAACGATACTCGGTGTCCGTGTCCTTTTGTGATGAGATGTATACCATTACACTCGTCTTGGAACGCTGATTCCAAATCTTACTTCCATTTCTGCTAATCGCTTCAAAGATTTTATCATGGATCGCGCGGAGTTTGGCTGCCCAGTGAGATATTGTCGGAGCACCAATGTCGTAGGTGCGCTGTGGTCTAGTGGTTAGTGCGATAGCCTCATGAATTGATGCAGGTGTAGGTTCGAGTCCTTTTGTGTTTCTCAGTTTTGCGTTGCCTCCATTAACCTTCTTTCGCATACTCAAGCTAAGTGAACGCCCTCACTCTTCAAAAAATGTGAAATTTTGGAAAAAATGACTACTATTTGCGCTAAAATGTATCCAATGGTCATAATTCGAGTAAACTTTCTCGAACAATCTTAATTGAGGCAACGCAAAAGTAAAAACACAAAAGATTTGAACCTACACCTGCATCGACTTATGAGGCCATCGCATTAACCATTAGACCAGAATGTGGTCGCTGTAGAGGCCATTCCAATGACCTTATTACCCTTAAGCGGCCAAACTTGAGTCAAATTCCTCCATAACTTCTTTCAGAGAAACGATTAGCAGAAACGGAAGTCAGATTTGGAATCAGCGTTCGAAAACGAGTGTAATGATATACATATCGTCTCAAAAAGCCACGGACATTGAGTATCGTTTCCTTGGTAGGCTATGAGTGAGCGCCTTTTATAGCGCCCATTTCCCGCAGTTTCTTCATCCTTACAATCCCTGAATGACCACTAAGCAGTTCTTTCAGAACATTTCCTCGAAGCTCCTTGGGTATCACAACCCTTTCGGCTGACATCAAACATTGCTCCACGATTGACAATGTCTTTCTTCGATTTCGAAAATGTGCCAATTCTCCATTTACTTCTGGCTAATTTTCTTTCTGCACGTAAGTGAGTACTCTTCTAAGTTCTGGGTCCTTCGTATAGAATTGCACATCGATACTGTCACTGGTAGTTTCCTAATGCAATTCTTCAACATGTAGTTCACGTCGTTCTCAACGGCAGCTATCACGACGTCTTCTTCGGAATTATGATACTTTTTCATTAACCGTGACAAGCCATCTGCTTGTCCAAACTTCGTAGTTTTGACATACTCTATGTCAAATTCATATCCTAGCAAGATTGTAGCCCACCTCATGAGTCGGTTAGCGGAGTAGACTGGAACTCCTTTCTTATCACCGAAGATGGCTAGCAGTGGTTGATGGTCCGTCAACAATAGAAATTTTCGTCTAAATATGTACTTGTGGAATCTCTTGATTGCGAAGACAATTCCTAACGCTTCCTTTTTGGTCTGCAAATAGTTCTTCTCCACTTTCGTGAGAGACCTTGATGCATGTGTGATCGGCTTTTCGGATCCATTAGCATACCTAGCGATATCACACAACCGATACCATAGTCGCTTGCGTCCGCTGCCACGACGATCTTCTGCCTCGGATCATGGTGAGCAAGGTTCAGCTCACTTGACAAAGTTTCCTTGAGCTTTTCGAATGCTTCTTGATGTGTTCGTGTCCATTCCCACTTCGCATCTTTCTTGAGCATCGCGTCCAGTGGCCCACGAAGATCCTTGATCCTTGGCATAAACGCCGCATAGTACGTTATCATGCCAAGAAAAGCTCTCAATTGATTAACGTTCTTCGGCTCATCCATCTTCTTGATTGCTTCGATCTTCGCTAAGTTCGGTCTTCTGCCATTTCGATCTACTATGAAGCCGAGATATCGTATTTCTGGCTTGCCGAAAGAACAGTTTTCTAACCGAATCCCTGAATCCATATTCGGCTATCCTTACAAAAACAGCTAGCAAGTTCTCCATATGTTCTTCTTCGATTCTTCCACATACGTATATCGTCCAGATAAGTTGCTACACTTCGCAGTCCGTTTACCATTTTATTCATTATTTGCTGGAGTATCCCTGGTGCTGTCTTTATTCCAAAAGGCAGTTCATTGTACTGGTACAATCCTCTATGCATGTTTATCACAACGATTTCTTTCGCTTCATCTGACAACTCGATCTGCAGGCCAGTGAGTTGTGGGGCGTCACGTATGCGTAGCCTTCACTTCTGGATCCTTTGATCTAGTAGTCGCACCATAGCTTTCCACGTACACCCATTGAGCCTCCACTAGCGTTCTTGACAATCACGTTGGTGTTTTCCCAATCGAGGAGCACCCATGCTTCTCCAAATTGATTCGTTCAACAGTGTGATGTCTCATCCAGTATCTAGCACGAAGTTAACTGGATGACTATTCACTTTTGCTTCGATATACATGCGTGTCGAGTTGAGAACCACTATCGCATTTGCAATCTTCGCTACGCTGTGCACATGACGTTTTGGTTTCGTCCAACTTCTTTTCTTATTGGTGTCGCTGCTTCTGTGGCTTCTTCGTTTCGAATCTTGCTGAACAAGTGCTTTTCTCTCCGCCACTTGTTCGCAATACTTCTCTTGTGACCTGTCGTTTTGCACTTCTTTCAAAACCATAGCTTCGCTTTGCATTCCCTGGCGAAATGAGCTTTACCACAGTTCCAGCATTCCATCTTTTTGGGTTCCTCCTTGCTTGTTGCTTCGTCAATCTTCGTGCAACCGGCTACAGTCTCGCTATCCTTCTTGAGACTGAGGAAGTTTTCGCACTCTAGGTACAATTCGTGTAGCGACATCTTTCGTCCAGCCTTGTACTCCTTGACCAGTACGGCTATGAGCGGGGTCAAGCAAGGGATGTGGCACACGATCGTTGGTTACGACCCCCCCCCCCCCTGATTGCTGTCTTAATAAGACCCCCCCCCCTTGAACTATATACCTAAGATAGCATTACCTGAGAAAGAGGTCAGGCACAAGTCTTTCGAAAACAACCCCCCCCCCCCTCCAATGAAAGCCCTCAAACAACCCCTTCTTCCTCCTCTTAACCTCTGGACCTCAAAGTGTGACGTTCTG